CCTGAACTTAAAGTATAATTCAACTGAAAAAAAATATATATATATAAAAAAAAAGTAATAATAATAATACAAAAATGATCGTTTTATTATTATTTATTACGTTGTTTTCGTAATCGTTGCAAGCCATAGTTGTAATCGCGATTAAAATACAATTAATTGAGCAGCCCTACGTCTAGCTCCCTGTTTACCACGAGAGAAAGCAAAGCAATCAAACCTTCTTTTTTTTGTACTGTGGCGTCTTGTATAGCGCTGAATGTGATGCAGAAGGGAGCTATATATATATATATCTTATAATAAATTGCTTTCAATATTTCTTTTTTTCAGAAGATGGAATAACCTCCACTGTAGCGGTATTACAATATCATGGTGCCAGAAATAAACCATTAAAATTAAACAAAAGAAATTCGGGTGGCAGTATACGCCGTGAAGTTGTTTGCGGCCTGCCAGTAAACCCAAAGCAGAAGAAGAAGAAGTGATGTCAGCGGCTTCATTTGCGTAATCTTCCCTCAGGAACTTATTCCGGTGTGAACGCGATCTTCTCTTTAGTTCCATTGGGGAACTAAGTGCTGGGAACTAAGTACGGCAAAGTACTTGGTGTGAAAGCGGCTATTATCTTTTTTTTTTAAGAAATATGCAGTTACAAGAGACGCTCATCCCCAAGTCTTTGTCCTTCTGTACTGTACAATACAACCCAAACACTGATAGGCTGAGAGATAGCATGAAGATACACAGAGAAAAAGAGAGAGAGAACCCAACAGGGCTCCGTATTCACAGCTGAGGGGTAAAATGTGACGGACAGACAGTTAAATAATCATAACAGTCTCTTTTCTTATACTTTGAAAAGATAAAAATAAAACCCCCCCTCCCTTGGTTAGGAGGGGGAGAAAGACACGTAAAAACTGAGCAGCATCCCATCTGTCTCCCATCCATCAAATCCATCCGTCCAATCCACGCTGGCTGTTGTCAAAGCTTGTTCTGAAGTGATGATGAAAGTGATGATGACGGTGAGAGCAGAATTTCATTTAACAATAAAAACAGAAGACGTATTTAGAATAATATGTAGTAGAAGGCACTGTAGCTGATAGAGAGAGACAGTCACAGAACCAGCTGATACTGAGCTTCTATCCCACAATGCAACAGAGGTCTGAAACATTAACATTCCCACATCGCTGAGAGACAGGTAGAGTGAACAAAACATAAAGGATACAAATGAAAAGCCAGAGGGGCTGCCGTGTGGGATACTTTAACCCCGACACTTTAAAAATGATGAGCTCAGCTGTATGCTGCAACTCAAAGCTCCCAAGATGCACTGCTGCTGCTGCGACAGAAACAAAATAAACGGAGCCCGGCCCTGATTTGACAGTGACGACAACTTGGCAAATCTACAATAATGTTGCAGTTGTTTTTTTTTCTCGGGTTAAGGAAGCAGGAAGTAGGTCACCAAGGAATGAGCAGCAAGACAACACTGCCTTTTGATAGGCTGAGGCAGACAGACAGGTTGTCAGACAGATTAGACAGGCAGGTTTAAATACACTGCTGCTCCTTCTGACTTTTCTCTCAAAAGAAGTACCAAGATCCAGAAGTGGTGAGGCTAAGTGAATCCAAACCTCCACTGATTTGGGCGTCAAAGCATCCCAAAAGAATCCATCGTTCCATCCGAGCGGTGAGACAGAGACGGCTAATGGTGCTCCGGCCTTCGAGGTGTACAAGTGAGACAGAGGAGAGTAGAAGAGGGGCCGAGGAGGAGTCGTTGAGGCGTCGTCACTCGGTGAGCAGCTGCTGGAGGAGGCTCTTCTGATTGGCTGCTGGGTTCTGGGACCCCTGAGGACCCTTCTGGGGGGGCGGCGCTCCGATGGGTCCCGCGTTCATGTAGGAGGAGTCGCTGCCCACCAGGTTCACGGTGCACTGGACGTCTGCAAACACCTGGACCTGCTGCACCTGCAGGGGCAGAGGAAGAAGGATGATACAGGGACCAGTAGTTTTTATATTGGCTTTTGTTTCTACTTGAGATGTGTGTGATGTGTTCTGTTCTTTTGTTTGTTCCTTTCGGGACTCCACGTGGTCTGTGTTTTTTTGTTGTTGTTAATTTTGGGGCCGATCGTCGCCTCATGCAGCTCACTGATCCAGTAATGAGTGACCCGACAGTGAAGAATAAATATATTTATAACTAGTTTAGCTTGTTCCGGAAGTAGATCAAATAGTGTGTTAGGTCTAACTCTTAGTGTGTGTTGCTCCGCTCACCGGTCCGTCACAGCGGGCGGAGCTGCAGGATTTCTGCTTCACACACGTTGCATACAGCTATTTTGGGTCTTCATTTTAACCTTTGTTCTTTCTCTTGAAGCCCTTTTTTTTTAAATTCTATTTCTGTGAAAGGTGCTATACTAAATAAACCTATTATTTAATTAGACAGGGCCGGGACATGGTTATGCTACTGCATCAGAAGTATTGTAGGTCCATTTACAATACTCTCCTGTTGTCAAACTTTGTTCCCTAACGTCGTATCTTAACCCTTGTTCTTTGACGCTGAAGAACAAACCGGTCAACGTGCATGTATTATATATGTGTGGCATTACAGTAGCTGTGTGCGAACTGTAAATACATCATGAGGCACGTGTAAACATTGTGTCATGTATATATCCTTGAAGTAAACCATCAATCTAAAGGAAATCTGGTAAAACCCGCCTGATGATCCCATGAGGTTATGACACTATGGACAGAAACGTTTTAGTGGCGTAATATCCAATGTATGCAAACTGTTCAAAATAAAATGGTGTATTGACTGACTAGAATTAGCTAAATCAATTGTACTACCTATTTAAGCATATAAGTAAGGGATAATGTGCTGCTCCTTCATGCCGATCTAGATCCCTCCGCTTCGCGTCGGGCTCCTGATCAGCCTGTCGGTGTTCTTTTCCCCATAATGACCAAGTCGCTGCACATTATCCCGCTTATTACATGGCCACATTCTCAACAAAGTAACGTTATGACTCCCAATATTAATTGAAATGCTTTTGTGGATTTAGAAAATGATTTTATTGATTTAAAAAATAGTTGTATGTATTTATTTAAATTGACATGCATCCGCTAAGAAAAATAGTCCGTTGTTACCGTTTGAACTAACGTAGCAACGGCAGGAACTGCTTCGATAGCGTTTTTGAGGAGCTTTTTGATTACAGATTTGAAAACATCGCTGCTTGCTTTAAAAGTAGCACAATTCATTATGTCAAACCTTGGAAAGTATCTAGATATCCCTGCCCTAATGCCAAAGGAACTGCACACTGAATATGTGTCGCCGTCTGATGTCTATGTCTGGACCCCTGCGTAAAAAGGAGGATTTCTGCCCGTTACTTCTCCTCTGTTTTCTTGTCGCTCTTGTCTTGTCAGTTAGAAAAGCAAACTGCATGCACTTTGCTTTTCAGCCAAACTATATACAGTTAAATCGAATGGACTTCTTTCTGCAGATGTGAGTTTCCTTAACAACGGTCAATAAGTGCTTGACAGCGGTCTGTCTGTTCGGTATTAACAACGTGTCACGTGTTCTGAATTGACCAATCAGAATCGAGTATTCAACTAAGCCATGTAATAAGCCCAGATAATGCATGGTTTCTTTCCTCGTAGGTAAAAAAAATCAAGGTCCCACGAGCATTAGATGCGTCTATAATGTCAAACTACATTTCGAGGAAAGGTCTACAAAGTCAGGTGGTATAATGATGATAATAATAATAATAATATAAACATAAAGACATAAAATACATAAAGAGACAAACAGAAAAGGGGGGGTGGGGGTCAGAGGTTGAATGCACTGTTGAACAGGTGGGTTTGGAGTGATTTTTTGGATGCGGTGTGGGAGGAAGAGCCTCTGTGACAAATGGACTGACAGATACCTATCGTGACATTAAACTCCGTTGAGCTTCGTATCCACTGACCTGCTGGTCGCTGCACACTGAGCCCACGTTGCTGAGGTTACTGTTGCTGAGGCCCACCGGCTGCCCCATGGCGGTTAGAGATCCGACCCCTGACCCCCGGGGCGCCATGGAGACGGTGATGCTCATGTTGTTGTAAACCCCCTGCTGGCCAAACGCCTGCCCTGCACTCTGTCCTGACGAACCGAACAGGCTGCAGCACACAGACAATCAGAGCATTACAAATGTGTCAATGTGTCAATGTGTCAATTATAATCATGTAACAAACAGGCCATCTTTTATACCACATTTAAAGGTCACCTATCATACAAAATCCACTTCTTCATGTCTCTTCTACTTCACCATGTGTCCCCTCTTCTTCATGTCTCTTCTACCTCAACATGTGTCCCCTCTTCTTCATGTCTCTTCTACATCAACATGTGTCCCCTCTTCTTCATGTCTCTTCTACCTCAACATGTGTCCCCTCTTCTTCATGTCTCTTCTACATCAACATG